CGAATGGAACCATATCGATTTTAGTGGAAGCCGCTCAATAGTCACAGTCGGCAACAGTGCCAATCCCATAAAAAAAAACATACACACCGCGTGCGCTTTCTCTCCCTCTTTCTTTCACACTCTGTGCGTGTGTTTCTCGACACATCTCTACTATTTCTCACACGTTCTCGCTCTGTTTCGTGCGCGCAAATACTATTATTTTTATTGGAACAAGTGAACCGATTTGACGGCGGCTCGTCATTTTCCAACTAAATCCAAATAATAAGCAAACAATTGACAGAATAATGTGCGTTATTAACACATATATTTTGCCAGATCCTTATTTCCTCGTTATATCCAATTCACAACAGCACTAAACACTACTTTTTATTGCACACACCAATTGTTATTCATGTGCTGTGTTCTGTTGTTGCTGCCGCCGTCGTCATCATCGTCTTTGTTACTGTTGCAGCCAAATCTCGATAGTTGGGTGATTGTATTCGATTTTTCGAACAGATTTGAATTGAAATAATCAAAAACCATTTTGATGGCATTCGATCGAAGTATCGAGATTGCATTGCATTATCATTCCGACGGAATGAAAGTGAAAAGAAAAAGAAATGGAAAGAAGACAAACGGCAAATAACTTTCATTCGGAGTACGTATTTGGGCCAGAACGCACAGATATCCTATCGAAAATAAATGTGAGTCATTTCGCGAAAAAAGAGCAACGAACATAAAAATGAGAAATCTTAATTTTTATACAAAAATCGAACAAATTGCTTTTCGATGTTTCCTCTATCCGAATGGTTCGGGCCTATGGTTCGGGCAAACAAATTGGTTTTTATATTATTCTCGTATTTTTTTTTTCTTTCGACGTCTTCCTTTTCGTCTTCTGTGTGTCTGTGTGAATTATTTGTATAAGCGTATGCGGCCGGTCTCATAAAAGGCAAAAATACAGAAATGGATATCCATTTCACAGTGGAGCACATGCCGAACATCAGATAAATTCTCATCCCAAATGAAATACGAAATCGGACCGAATTCTTTTCGTTGTGATTTGAAACTTGAAAGCCAAATATTAAGACATATTTTTCGCAAACTTCTTGCATCCATCTGCCATACGCATACTATATGGATAGATATGTATTGTTCGTTCATCAAATTACGACTTTTATGCCGACGCGAGCTTTTTTCGGTGCGATTCCAAAGTGATTTTCATCTTTTTGAATCGAAACGTTCGAAGTAGTTATTTAACATCATTTATTCAGATTAAAGACATTCCGGCTGAGAGAGAGAGAGATAAAGTGCCCCGAATAAATTGAGGAAGACACTGGTTTTCCTGCATCGTTCTGCAGTAGCGACCGCATTTGGTGATATATGTGCGCTCTCTTTTTCCTCTCTAAACCACTTTTATGGCTTTTTTCCCTATGTAACGCCGATACAGATTGAAATACACAATAAAGTAAAGTGAAAAGAAAACTACGATGCAAGCATTTGTGAAAAGCGTCGTCCAAAGGACGGGACGTCTTGCCATAGAATCCGTCCATGAATCAATTTTTATGAGAAACATAACCGAACGCATACGCAATGAAATCTATCATTTTTTGATTATTTGATAGGAATCTGTCGGCGACACAAAGTAAGCGCATTTCGAATATCAAAATTCAAACTACCAAATTTGGTTAACACGGCTGAATCTACACTTTTTTTTTTGCTCTACACTCGATCTTTCCGGTTTGCCCATTTGTCGCCTCTCTGGAATTCCACATCCCACATGCATCATGGATCCATTGGCAAATCAATTTCACAGTATTCCCATTTTCCTTCGCTTCGATTCTTCCCCTCGTGAATTATTAAAAAAATTTCCATTTGGAAAATGAGTATATGACAAAGTCATACATAGTTTTATCCGATTATGGCACATAAATACCATTTATCGTAGTGAATTTATATGAATTTGAAGGGAAAATTCCTCCAGAAAGCAAAAAAAAATGTAGGGAAGATGATACAACCGCTTTTAAATTGGTTCCTGGTCGATCTCTTAAAGAGAAATTGATGCTTTCCAAACGTTGCATTGAATTTGTGTGGAATTCGATAATGGTTTCCCTCTTCACTCTCGCCCTAAATAAATTCGTTGCACTTTTTTCTGCTCATTTCTTTTTCACAGAATTTCGGAATAAATTTGATAAAATTGTTTATCATCATTTTTTTCTAATCGGTTTTATATAAAATTTGAATGTCTTACATTCCAATGACTTTATGCAAATTTCGCTGACGACAAAAGATTATCATTCGTGTTAAAATGAGTTTTTTCCCCTTCATTTTCATAAATGCTTGTCAATGATTGACATTTATCATTTTCGATCGTTTTAAGTTCAATGCATGGCAAACCGATTATTCGTAATAGATAATTCATTGACACATCACCGAAACGGATGCAAGCTAGAAACGCTTTCGACATTCTCCAAATATACTCAAGCCGACGATGCAAGGGAAAGGAAAAGGAGAGAGAGGAGAGTGGTGCTGGGCGATGAAGTTGAAAAAAAAGTCGGCAATTTGGTTAAACGACTCGGGTCAAGAGATTGTCTCTCCTTCTCTGGTGAATGTTGAACGCAGTAAAAAGTTGCATTCAGCAGCACGCCCTTATTTGTGATCGATCAACAACTTAACACAATTCCATGATATTCAATTCCAAACGACGAAGCGTTTAGCCAAATTGACGACCCCATAATAATAATATGCATAAATATGAATTCGCTCGTATTAAAAGTAAGTGCGTGTGCTCATCTCGTCGCTGCCCACTCGTTTATTGACCATTCGTCCAGCCGCAACGCAACAGCAATTTATGGAGAAAAAAAAACAAAAATAATCAATTTTATTTGGTGTTTTGTATACGGAACCTAGATTCGGCCAAAAATTTTATGGTCAATTCCATGGTTTTATGGTTGTGCGTTATTCATACACACATTCGCACATTTCATTCACTTAGCCATTCATCTCCTCTCCTCTCCTCTCCGCTCCGCTATCTCTCCGTCATCATAACACACAGAGATTCACGAACTGCACCATCCTGACTGGCGCTAGATGCAAATATACACATTGAATCAAGCACACACATTGCTCTAGCCATTGTCTTAATTCCTTTATTCATAAATAATATCAATCAATGGGAACACTTACTGATCTCAGTCAGTACAAGTTCGAGAGTTCTAAATCGCTGCTGACATTGGTGTGAAAGGACTTAGCTATTCGACTAGGAAGTCGTAATTTTACATATACACACATCTGCATATTCTAATTTGTGGTGACTTCAGCCTGTCTTTCTCTATCGTTTGGCTCGGTGGCTCAGAATAAATTGCCGACGCGTACACACACACACACATTCTGTAAATGAAAACTCAAGCGAAATTACTCTGTAACTGATTGCACTGCACACACACACACACCATTTGAAAACCGAACCACCGCACCAAGCAATATTTATTACACAAATTGCCGAGATTATTTTACGCGACGATGAGAAAATGAGACGCCATCGAAGGAGGAACGGTTGAGAAGGTACGAACGAAAGCAAATACGTTATGGAAGAGATTCAAGTGTTGAAGCCAATTCATTATTATTAGTTTCTTTAGTATAAAGCGACACTTGGTTGGTGTTCGTGTTCGTCCATAAGGATTTCATTATTTATCGTTGCGTGGGAAAAAGCGGCAATAATGTGGCATTTAATGAAAATGAAAGCATCAATGACTCAGCTTAAGGAAATCAATGTAGGCGGACAAGCGTGAGAGAGAGAGAGAGAGAGAGAGAGAGAGAGTGACATAGAGCGGAAGCAAGAAAAGGTGAATATATAGGTTTCGCACAAATTGATCCAACAATTACTTCAACCCAACAGCGTGATTTATATGCACATATTTTGTCATCCCGACCTCGCACTATTTCTGAGCTAGTTATATATTGATGTTCAGCGTTACCAAAACGGAATCAATTGTAATTAGTTTCCGCCATGACCAAGTAAAAATCTCTGACTTCAATACTGACCACAAGATTACTCGCAACAATGAACAAAAAAATTACGACATAATCAAAACCCTTTAGAAAACGAGAAAGAAAAAAATGCACAGCATTTCTTGACATGAAAGAAACATTATAGAAGAATTTGTATACCAATCCGATTTGTCGAAAGAAAGAGAAAAACCAAAACCATTTACTCAATGAAAACAAAAACAGTAATGCTTTATTTCATGAATTGCGTACAACTGTAGATTGTTTTTTTTTTTATACATTTAGTTGATATTTTTTGTGGTGTGTTTATATTATAACTAGGTAGTCGAATATGAATTAGCATTGACAATAGCTCCTGTCAATACTTCGGACATTGTCAAAATGCAGAAATAAAATCCAAAAATAAGTACTAAAAACGATATGTCCATTTTTGTGAATGAATATCCAAAAACCTAATGCATTACGAAAGTCAAAGTCAAGACCAAATGTTGTGATTTGCCATCTCATCCTATCTTCTGTTTTACTGTATTTTTTATCATTTAAGTTTTTTTTTCTCCTAATACTAAACTTACTAAATGTACGTAATGAACGGAAAAAAAGACATGCGTTGCAAAGCGAATATCCAAAAAAAATGGCAATGAAAAACATCCAAACCAACGGGAAAGTAAAATTTTCAAGTGACATGAAAAAAAAGAGACAGAAAACTTTTCCGTAAACCCAAAAAAAAAAATAAAATAATAATAACAATACCGCAGATAACCGGATTGCTGTTGAAGTAATTTGCCATATTTTATATCATTTTTTAGTAATGTTCATTTGTAGCTGAATCGAATTCTCCCCACCCGCCCTTGCAAACCAAACCAAACCAAAAACCAAAAAACAAAACCAGTCCATAGTCATAATGAGCTAATTGCTTAAAATTCGATCTCATTTGCTAGTGTTATGTTATGAGATGTTGGTTATTATGTTTAAACAAAAAAAAATCCCTTTTTCTTTTCTTCATCACATCTTTGTAGTCCAATCCTTCTGATGGCAGAATATCGTTCGGCTGAAGAATATCTTGATGGATCTCACGTGCCCGTATGTTTGACACAAGCATCGAATGCATGGAGCATCACATTTTTTGTGATGACCATATCCGCATTTTTCCTACTGCCATTGTTTATTTTAATTGTACTGTATACGATAATCGCGAAAAATCTGATTACCAAAGATGGACGAATGGTAAAAATTCGGCCCAGCAAACCGGAGCTGAGTTTCAAGGCGCGCAAACAAGTCGTTTTAATGCTTGGAGCCGTTGTATTCTCGTTTTTCGTGTGCTTGGCACCATTTCGCGTGTTCACACTATGGATCATTATCGCGCCCGACGAACAGGTCAAGCGAAAAGGATTAGAATTCTTTTACAATTTCCTCTACTTTAGCCGAATCATGTTGTACCTGAATTCCGCCATCAATCCGATTCTCTATAATCTAATGTCGTCGAAATTTCGTAAAGGATTCCGTAAGCTGTGGTGCAGTTGCTGCTATTTGAGCAGAAAATGCAATCGCACCAAACATGAACGCACCACTGCCATCAATGCAATTGCCACAGCAACAACAACCACCACGACCAGTGTCACATCGCACAGTGTACTGTGCAAAAAGCTCAGTCATAGTCGAACATTATCACTGGACGATGTTAAGAACAACACGACTTCCATGGATAGCGAAGCGCACACCTGCAGCGTTAACAACACATCCAACGAAAGTAATGGGAAAACGATGCGAAAAAATCGCAGTCTGATGCATCAGGCATCGTCACAAAGCACAAATACATCATTAGACGATGACCGCAGGGATGATTGCTTGGCATGCCGAAGTAAAATGGGTAAACAACGTATCGCCCGAGTGTCGTTCAGTTTAAGCTCCGATTCGAATGATTCAAGCGAACGGCCACGGTCGAATACCAATGGCGCCATGCGAAAGAAAAAATTGAAATTTCAATATGGATTTGATGAGGATCGTTTTGCGTCTATCAATGCTGTGGTATCTGCGCCGGTGACTGGCGGTAATCTTCATTCAATCGAAATTCGACACGATTCAGCCATCAAAAGTATCGAAATTGAACAGCTGCCAACCGATGAAGATGACCCAGTCGAACAACAAATGATACCATTCCTTTAGCAAAATTCACATTTACCCAACAATAACAACACCACCATAATCATCCGTCAACACTCAGTCAGTTCAGGGCATCACCGTTTTGCATATTATGCACACATTTCAGATATACACATAATCTGGGACCAGAAATATTGTTCACCTTCACTCAGTTTTCTTATTTTAGCACAAAATGAAGAGAAAGGGGAGAAAGGACGAAAAAAAACCAACAGAAAAAAGTACCGTTGACGCTTTTGAGCGAGCTTGAATATATATCCGCATTTTCCAGCGAATGCCTTTTCACATAATGACCAAAATGCATGAGAAAATATACCATTTGTCTTGTTATTTTTTTTTTCTTGTCCTTTGGCATATCAAATCAAATGCACAACATTCTAAATAGCCGAACTATTTTGTTTCTCTTTGTGTGAGAGCCATCAATCGATCTACTTCATAAATTCATAATGATTCATACATACCAAAATCACAGTAGGACCAGATAGAAGAAAATTTAAATTTTTGTCGTAATTTAGTTAGTTAATTTCTACCATTTTAGTTTTACACCATAACATGAACCGTGTTTTAAAGAAGAAAACAAAAGTCTATCTATTTACTTATGTTGATTTTGAGTGCAATTTATCATTTCTAGTTAATACATAGTGGTGAGTGGTGTAATCAAACCCACTTGAATCAGTTTTTTTTTTCTATTTTGTTGAATTATCATGTGTGTAACGCTTTAGTTAAGGCAGATCTCAACGTAGTCTTACTCTATCTCTGGTGTTATAACATTGACTATAGTCTCATTTTAATTTATAGAAATGTCATCCATTTGCATTATTGAATCTCTCCATTTATGTATTTAAAGAAAACAACAAGTTCTTAGTTGAAACCCAAAAAAAAAGAATAATAATGAATCTCTTACTCTTAAATCTAAGACGTAGCCCGTACACAGAAGTCAAATTTGTAGTTGATAAATCAAGGGAATTATCGCAAATCTAAAAACTTATTACTATATATATGTACGTGTTACGTGTCATTTACCGCTCACATCTATATTGTCTATTTATATAAATTCTAAGCCAGAACTAAACAACAACAACAACAAAAAATCAAATAAAAAAAATCGTTTATAAAATAAAACGCAAAATTGGAATTCATGGAAAGAGATACAAAGAAGGACGAGAAAAAGTCAGAGAATGAGTTTGTCTCGTTCTTATTTTGTATCGGTTCCATTAGCGATGAAAGTTCGAATTAATTTGATTCATAGTCTTCAGTTGTCTGCATCTAATTGGTGATTACACGAGGACACCTTGAATTGCTGTAAGTCATGTTTATCTGCAGTAAATTCCTTAGCAAAACGTTCGCTTTTCGTAGTTCTTGTAACTAAAACTGAAGTAAAAGCCTGTTTTAACGGCACTCCTTGGTTAGCTCTATATAGCGTAGCATTGCAAAAACGAAAACATAAAGCAAAAAAAAAACGATGACAACGGTTTAAACGGGTTTGACGGACGATTGATCGACTGTGAAAATCGATTATTTGGAAAATTTGGTCGTCGACAATTGAAGAAACAGTCGAAGGAAAAAAAAAGATTATATTTGAAACAAGAGAAAATGGCTCATTTTTATTCGTTCACATTCATACATTTAAATATTTGTTCTCTTTTTCTTTCTTTCTCTCTCTCTCTATTTTTAGTTTGAGTTTTTATCATTTTCCCATTCTTTCTACTTTCTCTATCGAGTCTGTCTACCGAAGTGAAAAATTCACAAGTTTACACAAACAAATGAAAATGAAAAACACACAAAAAAAAGATTGTAGATATTATATATTTTTGTAAATAACCCGAATGAGTTTTGGTGCATGCATGTACACTTATTTATTGGGCTGATGTAGTAAGTATTTCAAAATTGATCTGTAAATAAAAACATGGACGGAAAATTGGCAACCAACGTATGGGAATCGGTTTCGAAAAAAAATCAATGATAACAATTCTAATTGGCATCGGTGATTTCGTTGTGCATCTTGGATTCGAAACAAACAAGCAAAAAAAAATTATGCACACGAACAACACCCCATCCTTCAACTCCCAACACTTCCACACTCTCTGTCTCTCACTTGCACATAAACAATGCAAACAATTTACAAGCAAAAAAAAACAAATCTAAATCACACACACAAGCCAAAGACAAACAACTCAGGTAATTAGAAAACAATTCCATTTTTTAATGCATTAACACACAAATATTCTGTATATATTACACACAAACCTTTATAGATTAGTTTTTCCATTGATTTATTTTCAATTTGATAACACAGCGATTTTGAATGCTTTATTAGATTATATGATTAGAGTTGATGTTTTGTTCTCGTTTTATTTTCCCATCTTTATTTGGCAGATAATTTTAAAGCGATCAATTAATTTCTTTATATAAAATGATGTAAAAAAAAATGTGAAACAAAACCAAAAACTGAATTATTTTCTTGTACTTCTTGTTTGTTTTTTTCTTTCATGGTCACCGTTTTCTTTCATTAATTTAGCCCCATGCTATGGATTGCGAAATACACGTTCACCGAATATTATGATGGATCCATAGTTAGCGTCTGCCTAACGCTAGTCGATTCATTTTGGCCGGCATTTTATTTCGTCGGTAGCATAGCATTGTTCTTCATATTACCGTTTTTGATATTGCTCGTGCTGTACACGGTGATTGCGCGTCACTTAATGAACAATCCAGGCATCACATCGCATGGCAATCGAAGTAATGTGCTAAAATATCGTAAGCAGGTCATATTCATGTTGGGCGCCGTCGTCATTAGCTTCTTCATCTGTTTACTGCCGTTTCGTGCATTAACACTGTGGATAATCATTGTACCGCCAGAAGCGATGCTAGAATTGGGCGTCGAAGGGTACTATTCATTACTGTACTTTTGTCGCATTCTATTGTACATCAATTCAGCGCTAAATCCAATTCTCTATAATTTGATGTCATCGAAATTTCGGGAAGGATTTCTAAAACTACTTGGATGCAAGTCAGTGGTGCGGCACAAACTGTTTTTGGGCACGCGAAAAGGCACGTTCCATACCACATCGACGAATTTGAGTAGTTCAAATAGCGGTGACAAGCGTAAAAGTGCACGAATCAAAGATGATTCGGATACGATTACGGCTTCGATTGTCATTAAAAATGGGCTGGAGGATATTTTGGTGATTAGCAGTGATAGCGAACGGTCCAGTTCGATAAGTGTGGAAGCGAAACGAAATGGTTTTGCAAAGCGAAAACGTAGCACATTTGAAGACATCGAAGAAATCGAGGAGATTGGCTCGGTCAAGAGGATGGATACGGACGATACGGATGGCGGTGCGACCACTTCAAATAAAAAGAAAAGCAACAAAGAAGTGTATTTTGGCCATCAAAATGGACGTAATGGCTGCAATGCAAATCGACGACGAAGCAGCTCCGGCATCAGTGCACACTGTAAAACACAACTTATATCCGCTATGTCGAACAAACACTCTGAATCCATCGACTCATCAGCCGATGAAATCGAATGCTATCCCGAAAATCACACGCCAATCTATGAATCCCGTTTGAATTACAACTCAAACGACGATCGCGAATCCAAATTATTCATACAACATTCAATTGGCACTGAAAGTTTTGTATAACAACTAGATTTTGTTTTGTTTTTTCGTATTCAAATCACAACAATGGAAACATTTTTTTTAAATGTTTTTTTTTAAAATATTTATTTAATAGAATTATAAATATTAGCATTGTTTTTCCATTGAAAATCTCGAATTTTGCACTGCCTAATTTATTCATCCACTTTCCATGTGTCTAAATCTTCTCTTTTTTACGGCTTCATCAATGTACATTGTCATCACTCAACCAAAATAAAAACACACACGCATCCTGTCTATATGATTGAATCATCTACCTCACACAATAGATTCGAGAGAATTATATACAGTGATCCTTTTACCAAACAGTCTTAGAATGTAAAACACCCAGAAGAAGAAGAAGAAAAAATAATACATATATAATCAAATATTATAAACTATAATCAAAGTGAATAAGATTTTTTCTAGACAACTAAGTACGGTATAAGATGATCATCAATGCAGCGGTGTATTCATATTGAAGATGGAACTAAATCATTATCCAGAACCATATAAAATACGAAATCTGTTGAATGTTGAAACCATTTTGATGGGCTAAGCGAATTAAATTCCAAAAAATGAACTTTTTTCTTCTTCTGTATCTCACAACTCGAAATTTCTCCATTTCCAATTGAAAGCCAAATTGGAATGGTTTTCTTTTTCTACATTTTGTTAAACAGAATCGACAATAAGTTCTTCATTTTCACGGCTCAAACTCAACAATCACACACACACACACACACACACCAGCAGCTGATGCTTTAAACCAGTGCATTGTTTGTAAAAAGCCATATCAGTTAGAGAAAAGAAAAAGAAAATCCATTAATTAAATGAATATTAACCAAAAATAAATACTCATTCATTTTTGTACTTGACATAGAGAACAGCTCTTTGGCTTGTGATTGTATCGAAGTCATTATACTTTGAAAACACAAGCAATGCTCGCCAATAAAAAAATAAATAAAACGAAGAAAAAAGAATAAAAAAAACGTAGAAATTTCATACACATAAAACTTTGTATAAGCCTAGAATAAGATAAAGAATAATCAAGATACCAAATAATGAAAACCCAACTAAAGTTGAACAGAACAAATAAAATCGATGACTGCTTACACTTCCTTTGTACTCGATGATACACAAACAGAGAAATAAACAAACAAAATCACAACAGACATCAAATTAACGCTCCATAAAAACGAAACTCAATTTTCACACTTGAAATTTTATTGTGGAATATTAACCCAATTTGCAGCATTGACAAAGTTATTTTCACAGGAACAAACCGTTTAAAGTGATTTTGTTTTGTTTTTCAGTTCTTTTCACACAGTCATAATGTTTTGATTGCCAATTTATTTTGACCATTTTTTTTTCTCTTTCGTTTATTGAGCAAATTGAAATTGCTATATGTATTTTTCATGTTTATTTTTATGGACTCACTCAGTATTATATCGAACAAATTAAAATGAGATTTTTCTTTACCGAAATTAACTGGTTAATTTTCCATTTAAGCCGAAAATTTATCGAATACGAGGACCTATTCAAGACTTCTTCCTATTTTACCTATTTAAAAAACATGATGATCAAATGAAAACCAAAATTTGAAATATCGTTTGAACTTTAGCTCAGTTTTGATCAATGAAACGAGCCGTTTCAGATCAATAGATGTAGACATATGTAAGCTAGTAACAATAGTTTTGTATACTGGAAATAATCAATAATTTAATAACTGGAAATTGTCCAGATTCTATTCTTGAGCTAATATCGACGGCGCATCACTCGACCCTAAACAGCTTAAAATCCTTTGTGATGCGTCATTATCGCATTAGCTCAACAAATGATCTTTGGAATTTTATAGACCATTTCATTTGAAAACACTTGAGCGGAACATTTCTTGCAGTGACATTTTAACGAATAAAAAGGATATAGATTTAAAATTCCAAAAATTTACAAAAAAAAAATGAAATAAATGAATGAGAAAATACTAGGCATAACATACCCACTCCATATAAAATGAAGTATTAATATACGTGAAAATAAAAACTGTAATTTCTTTAAAAAATGACAATAAAGTGTTAAATAACTCGTTTGGGTTTCTGTCACACTTTTGCATATTTTATAATGAACATTTTCCAAAAAGAATTGAACAACAACCATTCAAACCAATCTACAGTTTCTTAAATACAAGGTACTTTAACAAAAGAACAATATATTTCCAAACCAAATGTCTCAACTTTTGATTCAGTTCAATAAAATTGTTCACTGCCAATTATACCATGAATTCAAATAGATATGAGTAATAAACTATAGCCTGCGCTCATTTTCTGTTGACAAAAAAATTATAATGAAGAAGAACAAAGAAAAATCCTATTAAAATTCACTATGAACAATCAGATTGAAACGATGTCATACTAATTATACGAAACATATATACTCCCAATCTTTTAATATTGATTTTCTCGTTTCGTGGAGCATTTTTTTTAAAATGATACTCCGGGAGCGCAAATGAAATATTGAACCATTTATCACCAAATATAGAATCATTGTGTAGAATTTTTTCTAAAAAAATAAACACACAGAAATAAATCAAATCAAACCCAAAATGGTAGTTGTATTTGTAAAGGGAAAGTTATTTAAATAAAAACTATTTTTAACACAGAATATTCACCCGAAGAGTTCGTTCATTTGCTTTTATCGATGCCATTTGTTACGGTCGTTAAGCATTGCGGGCGAATAGGTAAGGTTATTTCTTTGCAATTGGACAAGACATTTTAATAAATCGCTTGAGGCAATATCGGAGGTTATCGAACTTTACTCGAAACTGAAATACATACCGAGTAGTTCAACCAAACATTCAACAAATGCGGTTATAATTCATTATTCTAATGAGTTATCAAAAAGCCGAACTAATTACATTCAAATTGATAATAGATTATAGAAAATGCATCAATAAACACAAATCGAATGGGCTTCATTATAATGCTAACGATAATTGTAATAAGAAATTGCTTTTCTCCCCCGGATGAGCAACTAACTCCATCTGTTGACAATTTTTGAAATCATACGAACATTTGAGAACGACAAATGTTAGAAACTAACCCTTCAGTCTGTTGATAAGTCTTTCTTCTGAATAGTTATAATTGGTATGACTAAAGGAATAAAATCAAATTTAAAACTTTGAAAATTCGAGAAAATGACATATTTCCAGAATTTCAACGATATTTTGGTTCCAACCAAACTCTTCAATTAAATTTGGATAAATGTTTAACTGCGCACAAAGATAGATAAAAAGTGTATTCATTTTCTTTGTTGTAGCTATTGCTGTTGACAGCTGATTTGACACTGGTTTCGTTTTTATAAGCTGAACGATGACAAAATTCATCATTCTTTGCTACATCGCAGTTCTGTTTACAACGTACACTATGGGTTTGTGGAATTTTTTTTTTATCGTTAACTTATAATTAAACAAATGTTTGGGACAATTTTGTTTTAATTTAGACTTTCAAACAAAATTCATGCATTTTTTTTAAATATTCAATTGAAAAATAGGTTTTGAATTGAATTTAATCTATTGATCCAAATATCAATTGATCATTAGGAAATAACAACGTAGAAATGATATCATATTCTCGGAATTTAGGTTGACTCAAGTGTTTTTTTTTGTCAATAAATTTATATTGATGGTTTCAAACAGAAAAACAGATGTTTATCCATGTTCGATGGATTTAAATAATTTCAAACAGTAATTGGGTGTGATCTCAGTGCATTCAAAGAATGAGTCATACAAACTATGAATCGTAGATACTGAAAACAGAATATTGTGCAAATTATCAATGTGGAACAATTTCAAATTAAAAACAAGATCATTAGAGCTATTACGTTATCAATCATGTTTGTTTATGTTCGCAATATTTGCTTTCGGACTTTCCATTTTTATCGTTTGTCGTTCTATTTTACAGCATCCAAATTGGACAACCTCTCGACTGAGTCGAATGTTGATGAACTTTGGTCTTTGTATAAAGTGAGTAAATTTTGTGTGTGTTTGACTTCGTTTGAAATACTTGATTTAATGTGAACATTTAATTGAAACCTTCGATTCATATTACACTTTAGGTGGAGCACAACAAGAGCTACGAACCAGCTGAGGACGCTGAACGTTTTGAAATATTCAAGAACAATGTGAAAAAATTCATCGCACACAATGAGAAATTTGCCAAAGGTGAAGTGACCTATACGATGGGCATAAATCAGTTTGCCGATAAAAAGCCTGGAGAATACCCAGGAGGTTTTCGTCCCAATCCATCCAAACCACCACAATGAAATGGAAAAACAACAAACCGAATCTCTTTTTGTTTGAAATTTGCTTTTTTAATCATTCCTTGTACTAAAAACTGCACTTTCTTTGTATGAATTACACAACAATAAACTAATGCGTCCGAGCATAGCTGGGTATAGGTATATTGAGACCGTCTTTTGATTCAAAGAATGTGTACGACAACACAATCGTGTCTATTAATTCCATTTTTGGATCTTCGTCAAACTCTGGATCAATGTAAAAGAATACTGGCATATCAACCTGAAATCGGAACCAAAAACCAAACATAAATTCGATGAAGAAAATTCGCTTTGAATGGGTTTAACGTATTCTTACTTCTTCGTGTGGATTCAGTTGTTGTGCTTCAAAACAAAAACATTGAATTTTATTAAAATATTGGCCAGCTTCGAATGGGATCACATTGTACGTGCTAACGCCAATTACAGGAACATCGGTTGGATTACGGGCTGTGTAGAATGCAAGTGCCGTCTCACCCGGAACCACCTATGAACATTAATCGAATTCATCGTTGACTCGGTTTTCTCACACAGGCGAAAAATCACACAATAACAAACCTTGATTTCATATTGTTGTGGTTTGAAATTCCATCGCATTGAAGCCGCTGTGTCGGCATTGAATTGAATTTTGAGCACCCGATTTCCGACTCTCTGCATGTTCTCCACTTTACTGGCGTCATGGCCTTCATTCACCGTTCCACCGTAGCCTGTCGACTAAACCATTGATAAGAATCATGGATTGTAATATTGCTTGAATTCGATATTTACCTGACAAAAAAGACGGTAGAGTGGCACCGCTGCAAAGGTGAGTCCAGCACACAGCACAGCTATAGCCATTGTATAATATCCTATTGATTGGGCCGAAAGATCTTCAGGCTTTTTCGTTTTTGCATTGGGTTTTGGTGCTATCTTCTGCAGTTCATAACTATTTAAATGGAAACTTCGGGCTTCAACTCGCAAATTTGTATATTGAAATATTGATTTGGTCGTCCTTGACGCTAGCACGGGATTTATTCGAAACGTAGAATTTAATATAATGCGCGCAAATTTGGATAACATCATTTTAAAGAATTTCTAAAGCCTATAAACGCATTCTATTTGGGAAATTGTTCAATGTTTTTTTTGAGGTTAGTTTCACCGCCACAGATGACATTTCGCATTTGTCAAATGTTGATTTCACATTTGACAGCGTTCAAATTCAAATATCTGTTGAGAAATAAGTAGACAAACTGTGTTTGGATTGAAGTATTATTTTAAAATAATCATTAAATTGAAAATGATTTTCCGCAGAATAATTTGAACAAGAACTAAGGAAATTGTAAAATACATTTTTTCTCTTCTTTCAAATTATCGCGATTATCCATGAATGCTTTAGGAACAATGTTCAATTTGTGCATAATTTTTCATTGCACGCACGTTAGCTCAGTCGTGGTTACCAGAAACCATTTTTCAAAATTAGAAAGAAAATCTATATCGACACCTGAAAATTAGTAAGTAAACCTGTTCGAATGATAAACCATTTATTAGTAGATAAAGTTTATCTGATAAACCATTCTTCATTCGCAGCAAAATTCGATTTGTGGAAAATACGTTTTTTGACCAAGATTTGAGTTGTTCCATTTTATAGCAGTTTTTCGACAGTCGATTCCTCAAAAAAATTACATAAAAAAGTAAAAACACTACATTAAACTACAAAAAATCTACAATTGAAATCACCCTACCCGAAGTCATTCCGGCAAATCTTCCAAGATTTAAATATTCATCTAAATGCATATATTCGCTTACAATGTCACAATCGATTTTCGAATACTACAGGCCAAGCCATCAAAGAAGAAGACATTTGTCAACACCAGATGATCACATGATTGATTTGAATCACTCTTTTGCTGGTTTTGGAAACTTGAAACATGTTCGTAATGAACGGTTCATAACTGCGTATGAGAAAATATTCATACATTGAACAAGAAAAATCTCAATGAACAGACAAATAGACCTCACAACATCGAGTCTTTTTAGTCATTTAAAAGCATTGACAACTGATGAGATATTTCAATCCAAGTTTGAGTTAAAATGCATATTTTCACCACAGTGGACATTTCCAATTGCTTTCTTTTTCTTTATTCATCTTTGCGTTTTCTTGATTTTTCAAATCAAATCAAGCTACCATATTTGACACAATTTTTTAGTATTCAACCGAACAAAAACAGTTATTGTTGTGGCTTGAAGATGTAAAGGGCATTTACGAAAACGTTCGCAATAAATTTCCACTTTTTATGTCAGAATAAAAAGTTTCATTATTGTTATTAATTTATTTAATACTGGCATTAGTACGTTAAACCAATTTTATCAATTTCCAATACGAGCTGCTTTTTTTTCATTCTGAATGGCTTCAACGATTAATATATATATATATGAATTTATGTAAGGCGACTCCATCTTGCTATTCAACTTTTAATTTTTATTTTTGTCACAATGTTTTGTTTACAATCTAGTTACATTTTGTCACATGTTTTTCAAAAGCTTTTTTCCTTAGGATCGCTTGCTGAGTTTCTCATACCTCCTTTGGTCTCTCTTTCTATCAATAAGGGAATGTAGTCTCAAACGGGCCACACTTTGATTTACCGCTATAACATCTTTTAAAGTGGATAATGTGTATAACATATATATACCGTTGGAAAGGAGACCTCAAAAGAAAACTTTTTGCTTAAGAGAGTCCTATGATTTCAGTGCAGAAAATAAAATTATAGCAAATTTTCCGAACACCTTGAAAATGGCAAAAAAAAAATTGCCGGGTCAAACGGGCCACCCCACAAAATCTGAAAAATAGAAGAAATAATGAAATAACAACACCATATTTCGACGGATTATTGAATTTTTATTCAATTATGTGCTTTTGACATGGAAATTGAAGATGATTATTCATCGGAATCATCGAATTCATCGGTAACATATGCATGCAGATGATGCAAAAATCTTCATCTTCATCCGAAGATGATTGCTTCTTTGGTCGCTTGGCTGGTTTCTTTGATGGCTTCGCTTTCGATGCGCTGGCTTTCGATGTTGCCGCCTTTTCCGCTTTTTTTGCCGCATTGTCTGCTTTCTTCTGCCTGTTTGCCCAATTTCACTGCTTTCAATGCGTTGACTATGGCGTCGTTATCGCGATTCGGTAGCACACGATCACTTTTACGTTTTCCACACGACGACATTTTCCACCTGAATTTATGAAAATAAGCTATAAATTCACTTTAAAATGCCATGTTATTGCATTGAACACGATATTTCATCATAGAAATTATGTATCAGTGTAATCAAGAAAAATGTTGGGTGGCCCGTTTGAGACGACAAAAGTGGCCCGTTTGAACCAAAACATGTCATTTTTGCATGACGCAACAAAAACTTTCTATGATGAAATAACATCAAAATCGACTTTATGCGCTAAAAATATGCACTTTTCACAACACGTATGATATATTTACCTTGAAAAATTACCGAAAAGAAATCACACAATGGTTGTCGGCGAAATGCACTAAAAACTGTTTTAAAAAAAATCTCGACACGAATTTTTTTTATCATACACAGAGTACGTCTTTACTCTTCGAAACCACACTGAAACTTAGCTATCGATGATTCATTCACTTGACACTGATCAGTCTGACGTTAATATGTCAACTGTCAAAATTTTCGGTGGTGGCCCGTTTGACCCGCCGGCCCGTTTGAGACTACATTCCCTTATCATCTAACCATTTTCAACGTAATCGCAAGCGACGGTTTGAATGGTGCTTTTTGATGTTTGGTTTCTTGCGATATTTTATATTCAAATCATTTATTTTCGATTTGCTTATCAAGCATAGTATACTTTATGCTGATGAGTTTTTGCGCATTCGAAACTACTGCATTTTCCTCCCATTCATTGTATTATGTTCCCAATCCGAAGAGTTGATTTCGTCCTCTTGAACTTACTCGATATATTCTTTGGCATTTTCGGTATCTTATTAGTGGTCTTTTTACTTATTAGTCTAATAAGATGAACCTATATTATTACTCATTACTTTTTTGCACTAGTAATATATCTAGTGAGTATAGTTATTAGAATGTTATTGGTCGAACGAGTAATAAGATGCATGGTATCTTATTAGTATAGTTATTAGATGAAATATATTTGAGTAATGAGATGGTGATGTTATTAGTCTGGAACCAAATGTTTCCCATTGATGACAAAATGATAAGGAGTGCGAATTTCGATGTGGCGATAACATCAATGGATTGAGAACACAAAATACTGTATGAGAATCGAAAAAAAAGTAAACTTTTTTTTTCGATTTTCGGCTGTATTACGACCGTCTACATGGGAAGTTTGTATGAAATTCTCGGAGCGCCACTGCTTTTGCATTGGCTTCTATGGCCAAATGTACACATTGAAATATCTCGAAAACGGCTGGGTAAATCGGCAAAACGGACCGTGATGTCACTCCCAAAGGGAGTGTAAACACCCAGCTGGTTTGATGGCCTAGAATATAAATCCGGTGGAATTTCAGCTGATCCATGGATTCTCAGGATTTGACCTGATTCCAGCACTTCAGTTTCTTTGCGTTGTGGTAACATAGGTAAAATGACTTCTGGAATCAGGTCAAATCCTGAGAATCCGTGGATCAGCTGATATTCCACCGGATTTGTATTTTAGGCCATCAAACCAGCTGGGTGTTTACACTCCCTTTGGGAGTGACATCACGGTCCGTTTTGCCGCTCCGAGAATTTCATACAAACTTCCCATGTAGACGGTCGTAATACAGCCGAAAATCGAAAAAAAAAGTTTACTTTTTTTCGATTCTCATACAGTATTTTGTGTGCTCAATCCATTGATGTTATCGCCACATCGAAATTCGCACTCCTTATCAGTTTGTTATCAATGGGAAACATTTGGTTCCAGACTAATAACATCACCATCTCATTACCCAAATATATTTCATCTAATAACTATACTAATAAGATACCATGCATCTTATTACTCGTTCGACCAATAACATTCTAATAACTATACTCACTAGATATATTACTAGAGTAATAAGATTGCATCTTATTACTACTTATTAGAAGTTTCTAGTCATAAGAAGTAAGTATCTTATTAATCACTATTTATTAGTCCAAACTATAACTCGATATATTCATCTCCATTTCTTCAATGTGCTCAATTTTATTTTACTAATTTTTTTAAACTTCCCGTCACGATAAAGGCAAATATTAGAATGAGTTGTTTCACTTTGATTAGATTTAAAGGTTCGATATCGATCATAGAAGCTAGCAAATTGTACTGATGAATATTTGCTGCTCTGCATCGTCGCTTGGCAGGGAAAACGAAAGTTAAAATGTGAATCACAACACGAATATTATTGTAGTAAGTTAGCATAGATAACTGGGTGCGCTCGTGCAAAGAATTCTCACAAGAAGAAGAGAGGAGAAAGAATCACCTCTGGTGATATTACATCACTTACCACAATTCGCATGGCTTTCATTCGTTTCATCAAAACCATTTAGCCATTCAACGATGCCATTCAGTGTGACGTCACATGAAGCAATGTGGTAAAGGTGATGAAAAAAGGGATGAATACTGTAGTGTATTTATGGTGCGAAAAGATGATTGTAATAACAATGATGAGTTTCTTGAAGCGTTCATCGAGGGGTCAGCGACAATTGATTAACGTCAATGAATAGCAAACAAACTCAATAGTTTGCGGTATGAAATATTGCATCGATGTTTGTTGCAGATTTTTTGCCAAGAAAGGAGACATTTCTTGAGCATATGGGCATGAATTCTGACTGGAAGGCGATTATATGGAGGGTATGATGATATGCGAATAGTTTAAGAGAAAAAATTTAAAACAGAATTTGATAAATCTACGGAAAACAAACCGAATGTGGTCGATGATGTCAACGAATGCACCTAATTGAGACGTATTCCATATAACTTTTCCTGATATGTATGAATTTGAAATTGATGATTTTCATGAATAGCATTGTATGCTTGCATCATATATTCGTTATGGTTTCGTTGAAAATATCCAAACAATCGTTTAAAGTCGTACGTTTAAAAATTAGTTTATTGCCTATTGCGAACAGATTCGATACCCGAACATTGGTTCCGGTTGTCAATTCGGCCACATTTTTTTGTTGTTTTGTGTTCGATCTCAATATCAAACTGGCATCGTTTAAGTAGCTTTAAACCATTTTCAAATTGTTACAACTTTATACGCATAATTTCGAAACAAAACGAGACGACGCTTTAACGACATTGTTCGGTATTGGTCGCCATTTCAAACCGATGCAGAGCAATTCAATTTTCACGCATATCTGTTACGCCTCTATTGATCCTCTTCGATGGCATACCTTTTCATATCACAATTCATAAACAGTTTTTTTTTTCTTCATTTCTTCGATGCAGCACAGTCGGGACAGTTTGTCTGCCAGAACTTCCTTTCTGCTACCAAACGATCAATTTATTTTTTTGTCTCTATTTCTTTAACAACAATTTTTTTTATGACGGATTCTTTGAAATACCGAAAAATTCGGTCAATTTTTATGTTACCAACGAAATCTATTGACATAATATCGGGTTGATTTGTTGGCGCAAGATACAAATGAAACGATCATCGGTTTTATGTGTCTCATCTTATTTGTGTCATTGTCATGCAGAACATAAAAAAGGCAACAAGTTTTTTTTTCTCTCTTTTGTTCCTCTACGTGCAAAATAATGATCGAGTCATATACTGATCTTGTTTTGGGAACGACAAACTATATCTTTTTGCCAAAAAAAACAGTAAAAAGTGACAAACGATGATTTCTCTGTGTCTTTGGATCGATAGATAGATAAATCAGAAGGATCGTCTCAATATAAAATATAGTAGCCGCTTCTTAAAGAATCCAGGAAAAAACAATAGTTATGTGTTGGAATAAGGCACAAGAAGAGTGGATGAACGAGAAAAAAGAACGCATGAACGATTTAGCCTTTAATGCACTATGCAACGACGGATAACAGAGCGTGTCGGCACTTTTTTTTCATCATCATTGTGTTCCCTTCATTCGTTTCAAGATTCTTCAACAGTAGATAGGTGATAATGTTCATTTTCTTCATTAAAACACCTCTCCTTCATTTTTATTCTCTTTTTTTCGGCAATTTCAATCGGTTGCAATCTTTTCAATTGACTTTTTTTCTCGTGCGTTTTCTCTCTCTCTCTCTCTCTCTCTTCTGTCTCTTGCTTGCCTCACTTTGTTTTGTGTTGTTTCTGTTCGCAACATCCTTTATGCAGCCGCATTGCGAACACAACAATCGTAAAAACAAGACGACTATGACGAGGGAGAATTTCTCATCGATTTATGCGAAATATTGATAGTGTTAAAAAAAAACTACACGTAAAAATAACATGTCATAGTGTCATAAGTATAGCATCGCATTTTGCCAATAGAGATGTCAACTAATTTATTGTTATAGCAGCGGGCATTGTTTAAATTCAATTTCTATTGAAATGATTGTTTATAGCTGAATTGCAACATGTAGCTGCCAACAATGCCAACAATAGCCACATAGTTGGTTGATGATGTGCCTTTGCCTGTATATTTCTATTGATGTGGCTTTTTTTCGGGTTGTCGATGCTCTTTGTCGGGTTTTTCGCTCGCAATCGCATCGCTTTCTTCCTTGCCGATTTTGGCTTCTGTTACGCATTTCGCAACGATGAAACATTTTTGGTGAAAAAGGACACATAGCAATTCTCCAAAGGATATAAATGGCAAACCGAAATGATAAAAGAATCAAATATAGCACAATGAAGCACGCGGGGATGGAAAATAAAATATGAAAACTGATAAATTTATCAAAAATACACATGAAACTACCGAGAAACCTAAGTATATTTAAACCATTTGATATAAGCGACAAATACACTAGATATTTGAAGGCATGCACTGTTTCTAGTTTTTTTTTCTTCCGTAATTTTTCACCGCTTTTTTTCTCTTTAATCAATTGAACGATATTGAATCGAATCAAATTACCTAGAATTTTGATAGAAGAATCGAACGCTCTTCAAGCTCTCTTTTTCTATAAAGCATACAATGAACCTCAAAATCGCCCATTCCACCTAACAACTATATTAGCGATCATTAAGTTGATTGTGATGATTTGATTTAAAACATTGATACCTAATGGATATTACCTATTTTGATGATTGAATGAAGTTCCATTTTTATATTTATGTTCACTTTTCAAATTGCGCTTATGCGCTTTGTGATTAAGCATATTTCTACGCGAGAAACATCCCTTCAGCAACCAGTTGCTGTGTTTTTAAGCAAAATATATTTCCCATTTGACAATGTCGGATATACTGACTAGTTTATTCACTTCAATTTGAAGTCTTCCAATTGAAGCAAGCAAAGGAATCATTTGTTGATTAAATTCATTTCCAAACAATGTATCGAATGGAATAAAACAAGAATATTCACGAAAGGACCGAGAAAAGGATTTTTACAAATCAAAGGATTTGAAGGAAATCAAATAAAAAGGAAATCGGATGATCGATTGAGCGATCGAATTGTTTTTTTATACCTCAATGTTGCATCTATTCCGATATAATTTCTTCAATAGGTCA